ATATATTTTAGAAAACAAATAGGGAATGGAAGAAGCGTAATCCACAACCCCATGGTTTTTTTTTAAAAAAAAACGAGCATTTGAGCGCCGCAGTTGAACGGGATTTTCGAGTCATTATGTTGCTGGTGACTTGACCCCAACGACCGGGTCACAAATCAAGGTGGAAAGAGAAGCTAAATCCGTGAACCCGTTGGCAATTGACCAAACAGATTCAAGAGCATCCTCGGGCCTGGTTGACGGGCCAACAGTAGATATCGAAAGGACAGTTAAGGTAATCAAAACAGAACCCCGATGAATCTGTCTACACATAACCGAGGTAAATTATAACTTGCATGGCTGAGGCGGTAGCTGTTCGCATCCAGCACCCAAATCTGTGCAAATGAAAGCGGATGGTTCACATATTGGCTTGATGATATGATATAATTGATCGTTGTTCAGAAAATCAAACGATGACCATAAATGATCTTGTTACTTGATCAGCTCAATCAAGTGATAACAACTCTAGAACAGCCCTCTAATAATCGTAAATTAATGTAATGAATATTGAAAAAAATAGTTCTTCTTCTGGTCTTTTCAGTGAGTAAAATCTATCAAAAATAACGAGGGGACGAAAACGTGACAGGCAAGTAATGGAGCAATGAAAGTTAGGGACATATCAGCCATATCAGGGTGCAACAGAATCCGCCGAGACTCCAATTCAGACAGGGTAACATCCTGTGAACTTGTTTATGATGATGATGATGATGATGATGATGATGATGATGATGAGGATGATGATGATGAGTAATGTTATGCTTGAAAGATCGTTTAGCGAGAAAAAGATCCGAAACCTATTCCAGCAGGTGCACCATGCAAATTTCACAACACCAGGATATCAAGAAAACCCGGTGGAATGAATGAGGCTTCAAAGGTTGCAAAAATTTGATTACACCTGTAGGATACAGACACAACAGAGGATTTGAAGGTCATTGAAAATGACTTAATTTTCATTGGTCAAAGCACTGAGGACACTCAAGTTGCAATCACGGAGTAAAACGGAACCAGTCATTCCCTTTGGGCTGATAGTTAAAAGAGGAAGAGGAGAGATGAACTGGTTGTGGTAACAAAAGTGGACAATGTAGATTGTACTCATCGAAATTCGAAAAAGAGAGTGAGTGAGAACATGGTGTCCTGTGAGATGTGTAGTCGCTCTCAAACTGACGGCATCAACACGAACTGAAATCGAACGGTCAGATAAGAAGCTTCATACTCAATGATTAAAACATGATACCCTCGGGGATTAAGCAGAGTTGAATGCTACCAGGTGCGTCCCTGGGTTGTGGATAGGGGGATACGTCAACCGAACAAGGTTAGCTGAGAATAAGTTGTGGCATACCGCAACAAATAAGCAGTCGCAAACAAACAGCGGCGGCACTACCAGGGTGTGGTGGGTTTCAGGCTGATCACATGGCTCGTGTTTAAAAGTTGTATAAGCCCCATTGCAGTGTTGTGACAAAGGGCGATATGACTAACCTTTTAAAACTGAAGTCGTTGTCCCCCTAACTTCCGGAGTGGGTATAGTTATCCTAGCTCCTGTCATGTGAGAGACTGGCAACGTTTGTTCTCAGACGATGCGATTCGATTCGATTCTAAGAAGCCCGGATGATGAATGAACACTGAAATGACACTTGGAGCTGGATATGCCAGGTATAAGCAGGCGTGTGTGTGTGTATCTGTTTGCGCCTCATATCGGAAAAAGTTCAAACTATGCCAACGAAATTCCAGCCCATAAAAGGCTGTCTCTCGTTCAANTCGTTCAATACAGGTTCATTCTGTGAGCTTTCAAAATTGTCAGCTAGCGATCAGGGAACAGTTGTATGCAATCACATCACATGAAATCTGCTTGAAACTCAACAATTCAACTATTAGTTGAATTACCTTTAACATTCGGTCGAAAGAATGGTGACCTATATAGGTTTTGGTGCAGCGATTGAAGGTCAACTTATGGTTTTCATGACTCCAGGCGGGGGAGTGTTGTACAAGTTTGCAATGTAAAAACAAAATAGACGAGCGTTCTGTTTTCGATCTCAACACACTAGCGGGTTAACCTGTTTGGATGAAATAAATGTGTCAGACTTACTCGTCCACAACATGCGGATTTCTATCACTGTCCCCTGTCTGTTGGCGGCATCAAATGGAAATCATGGCCTTGCTTACAACCAGAACTCTTCTCAGCTCGAATGAAAAATACCCGGGGGTTCTTGAAACATGAACCAGTGCGAAAAAAATCAGGTTGGTGGTTTGGACAACGTCCAAATAGATTCCCTCCCAATGAACTGCTTCATACATTTGTAGTGGGATTTTTTCGATGTGTATG